CAGTACTATATAACATTTTAGACACATTCTAGACAGTTTATCAGCTAAAAAAAGTTAATTTTGGGGTAAGTTACTCTTTAAGTAATTAATAATTATATTGATAAATAAGAAGTGATGGGAATAAGGTTGCAGGAGAAGAGGTGGGCTAATATAAATATATTTCTGCCCACTCCTTTTGAGTGTATGAAAAATTGTGAACGGTGTTCTGAACTGTAATTTAATTGTGCTCTGTACAATGAAGGTTTATCTTATCTTATCTTAAAACAGTATATTTGTAATGTTTCTGTTACGTTCTGTTGTTTTGTTCAATAAAAATGATTAAAACTTTATATAACTTATCAAAACAACTACAAAATTTCATCACTGTGGATTTCTTAAAGACGTTTCTTAAGTTTAAAAATAATAACATTGGTAACAAAACTAAAATATTTTTTTAGAATGTCGTCTTTAACACAGTTAAACATGCCGGTGGAAAACAGTTTCAATCAGATGTTTACATACCGTAGTTTGGTTCGAGCGCCAGAATGAGCCACTTGTCAAACCCCGCTTCGTTTTCACTACCACGTAGGAGCGCAAATCTTAGCAAAGAAAAGTCACCATGGTCTCTGTTATCTTTAAGTTCTGCTGAGAGTTGGCTGTTAACGTCAGCGATTCCTTAGTTTCATTTGTTTTGATCCAGACAACTTGTTATCGAAAGCTAATGTTGGCACTGAATGTCAACCAGATGTAAATATACGGCAAGCCAGGAGCGACAAAATATAGAAACACACCTCAGATGCGCGCACAAGACAGCATGGGAAGAATCGATCTCATGTCCTGTGAATCGATTTTCACAAATTTAAATGAAATCGATCCAAGACCGATAAAATCAATTTTTTTAACCAGCCCTAGTTGTTACCAGCAGAGGGAGTGCTGAAGATCATTTTAGAATGGAAACTTGACAAATTTAAGTTCTCTATAAATACAATATAGCAAATCAAATCAAGGCCCCCGGGCCAAATATGGCTCACCACAACATTAGGGGTGTCCCGATCCGATATTGATATCGGATATCGGTCCGATATCAGCCAAAAAAACGAGTATCGGATTTTATCGGCCTGCATAAAAAATATCCGACATAAGCGCTCCGATATTAGCAGTCCATTCCAGCAGTTCACTGACTCCACTCCAGTGTTTCTATCCAGCAGCGCTTGGATCCAGCATGCAG